ATTTTGTTATTAAGATGTGAATAAAGGCTTAAATGTATTAAGATTTTGTAAGGAATTTTTTTGGTTGGTGAGTTGGCAACTTATAATCAAAATTTTAAAGGGAAAAAATTGATTTACATCTTGAAATTCAGTTTGACATGTGATATAATATTTTGTACAATGGTAAAAAATATAATACGTCAAGTTGTGTACAAATTACAAACTTGTACATACTTGGTTGTTTTGTACGATGGTAAAAAGATCAATACTGGTACATCAAAATAAATCAAGATACTATAATTGGTTAGTCGAGTATGTATTAACTTAAAATTTTGGATAAAATTTTAAATATTAAGTTAATGAATTAAAATCTTATGTTATATAATAAGATGAAGTAAGTACAGGGTTAATTTTTTTTAAAGGTCGATTATGATTACGGTTATTTTATTAATTTTTAATATCAGTAATGGGTTCTTAAGAAATACATGAAGTCGTTCATATCAAATAGATATGTAGATTTATACTGGGGAATTACATATATTTATTTATAGTATATAGAAATTTTTTGATGTGATTGTGAATATAATTAATCTAAATTATTTTGATAGATGTAGGCAAGTATTAGTAAAGCGAATGTATTTTTTATCTATTTAGTGGTAATGGTTCAAGTGCTTTGGATTCTAGTCGTTCATATTCATCGGTCATTGATCGATCAACAATAAATGCATCATGATCAATTGATTGGATTTTTACATGTTCCCATTTCATGCAGCGGCTTAATGCTACATAGGCTTGTACATACTCGAAGATTTGATTATCTAAGTTTAGAGATATATCAGGAATTGTTAATCCTTGTGTTTTGTATATCGTAAGAGCGAATGCATTTTGTATGGGGTATTGTGTGTGACTAGCAGGTAAGCTATTAAGATAAAAGTTGTGGGTGTATTTAGTGAACAAAGTATTAATAATTGCTCCTTCAACACAGAAACTGACATACACCAGGCCAATTTGTAAATTGAGATCTGTTACAATGCCTACGGTACCATTGGCTATGCGGTGTCTGTATTGGGAATTGTTCAAAAACATGACTCTTGCTCCAGGTTGAATTCTAATAGTACTAGGAAGATTTGTTTTATTTGCGAATTCATGACGTCTTGAATTGGTAGGAAATATTTGATTGTCTATGATATCGACACAGTCAGAAATTAGGATCTTATCTTCGTGGGTGGGGATTGAGGTGCAAATTGTTCTATTGATTAATTTGGCAGTTTTGCGATAACCTACTATGTGAGTGGTATTGAGATTTGTGTCTAGTTGGGGTGATTGGATGGTTTCTAGTAATTTTTGTGATAATACATTCCAAACTTGTTCGTCTATGATACCATATCTAATTTTTTGTAAAAGAATGTAGAAGTAGGTATCATCATTTTGTCTTTGAGGATTACAAAGAAATAATGGATAGAAAATTTTCTATATTGGTGATTGATACACAGGAGGTGTGTTGACGGGAGATAATTGGGCAAGGTTACCAACTAAGATAACACTGATTTCTCCAATTGGGTAGTTATTTTTGTGTAGGCATTCGAAGAGTTCAGAGATGTATGTTAGTAACAGACCTGATACCATTGAGACTTTATCGATTATGAGAGTATCAATTTGAAGAAGAGAATTACAGAAGTTTGTATTGCGAAATATAAGGGAGTGAAATTATCTTTCATCTGATATTATTCGTAATGCAGAGTGGATTGTAGTTCCACCTATGTTTAAGGCAGCAATTCCAGTGGAGAAATTAGTAGATAGTTTTGGCAATTCTTTGGAAGTATCTAGCAATATATGAAT